AATCAGCACATGTTCCTACAGGTCCACCTGTCCGGCCTCTCAGTGCTTGAACTGCAGGCGTCACGGCTCTTTTTACAGACGAAAGAATCCGGTCAGGATTCAATGGACTCCATGGAATCCAGTCAGGACAGTGGTAGGACCAGGAAAAGGCCATTCGCATGGAGGGATTCCTGAACCCTCGTCTGCCGTGCAGAAATGGATGTGCCTACGCTCCACATCCTGCCCCAAGAGTAACGCCAGCCCTGGCCATTACACCTCATGTCCTTGGCCACTTCCTGCTTTGCCCCGCTGGCATGTGCCATGGAGGGGACGGGAACGTAGACACCATCTGGGCACATGGTGCCAATGAAGAAGAACACGTGGTTCCTGGCCCTGGGGATGACGTGACCAACCCAAGGCCACTCGGCAAGGTAGAGACAGTGTCGGGGTCTCAAACAAGACTTCTGCTCCCCGCCTTCCCCCACGATCTGCCTCACATTAGAGCTTCACAGTGGGGCCGGCCGCCTCCCCTGGCCATAGTGGCGGTGAGGGCTGTACTGGGCTCACGGCACCTGGTGCTCCGCAGCAGCCCAAGAAATGATTGGGAATAGCTGTGTTCAAGTTTGGTCTGCGGCCAGGGTTAGGCTGCTGGGATTAAAGGTTAGTTTCTAACAGGGTCAAGGTTAGAGGGTTGGTCTGTAGCCAGGATGGGAGCATCAACCATAGGAAAGGGCTGGGAAGTCAGTCTTTGTTGGGGGGTCAGCCAATCTCTGATGGGGTTTAGAAGTCAAACTGGCTGGGGTGAGAAGTCAGCTGGGTGAGTTCTCAGTCCACGGTTAGCATTTGTTCCTTGCAAAGCTGATCAACCTCTCTGGTCCTTCATGCACTGTCCCTGGCATCCGGAATGCCCAGTTTCTTGAGCAGGGGATGAAGGAGTCAGCTCCACCTCTGGGGTGGAGGGAGCTGATGGGATCACACTCTCAGGTTGGGGTGGCCTTGCTTCTAGGGCTGTCCTCAGCAGCTGGCCTGGGACGCAGACCCCGCATGAAGCGCACAGCGACTAAAGAGACCTCAGGCCCTTGGAGGCATTTCCTGTTTTCCAGTGAGCTGAAAACTCAGCTTCCTGCTTAGAACAGTCCATGGGGATGGTTTCTTTTTTTGATGGCAGGCGGGGTGTCTGGGGGTGGAGGCTTTGTTGGACTTGAGGACAAACTTTCAGGGCCCTGGTAGGAAGTGGCACGGGAAGAAGGGTGGGAAAGGAGAGAAAGAACCCCCAGGCGCCTCGGCCTGTTTTCTGGCACTGCCTTTGTGCTCCTGTCCAAGTCCTTTAGACACAGCAACACAAGTCTAATTGCGCATCAAACAGTCATGTATGTTTCACACAGAAGTGAAGTTTCCCTGGAGAAAGCAGAAGTGTGCAGGACCTGTGTTGGGATAATGACCAGGAGTGCGCTGGGAAGAACTGGGTCTTTGGTGTCACCCAGACCCAGACTCTAATCACAGGCTTGAGTGCTGATCTGCCCCTGAGCTGGCTGTGCTGCTTGAACAGCTACCCAACCTCTCTGAGCCTCAGAGGCTTCATTTCTAAAGCAAGGGATCCAAACAGCCACCCCCCAGGAGGAATAGTGCCCGGCCTACAGCATGCACAGTGAGAAGCAAGTCTCCTTCCTTCCAGCTGAGTGCAGAGGGGAGAGGAACACAAAAACACAGGTCCCCCAAACAATCCAAGCAGCTCCACTTCCACCAAAATGAGGGCTCCAGGCTGGTGCTGCTGTCCCCGCCACGCTTCAGCCTCCTTCCTACCCCTGCAGGCACACTCTGGTCCCCACTCCGCACTCAGCTGCACTCTGGCTCTTGCCTCATCGGGTGGTAAGTGGAGAGAGAGGCAGTGGGAAGACGGAATTTCCTGCTTGGCTCCACCCACCTTGCCTTTAACTGCGTTTATCCTCACCAGCTGAGACTGTCAGTTCCTCTTCCTCCGCCAGGGATCACCGAGGAGCCTCCCCCACCTGCCCTCTGCAGGCTGTGAGGGAAGGTGGGCAGGGACCACCAGCCTGGCCAATGCTTGGGGTTCACCTAGCCCTTGGTGTACTGTTTTTTGTGTCACTACCCTTGCCTGTAGGTGACTGGTATCCACTAGAATGGGCCCTCATCGTTGCCTTTGGAAAGGAGCCTCCTTAGAGCAGCTGAAGGCACCAAGTCCACTGACTAACCACCCGGGGCAGTGCCCACCTGAGGCCTATAGTGCACCTGAGCAGTGAACAGCCTAGCACCCCTCCTAGTCTCTCTCCTCCCTCATTCTTGCCTTCTCCTGGCCCCCCTGCCTTTCTTTTTCAGGACAATAAAGCAGGAGTAAGGTAGGTTTAGTACATCTGTTAATAATGTGAAAATTTCTATTAATATTATAGATGCCTACGTGCGTAGATATCTTGGGTGGAGGCAGAGCCCGGCCCAGCCCTGGTGGCCCTGGATCAACATATCCCTAGATGGAAGTTCTCTTAGAAAACCAAGCCCTCCAGGAGCCCTGAGAACTCACAGATGAGAGTGAGCAATAACTGCGTAATCACAATGCTGTTTTGCTCCAGGAAAAGCCACCACCCGGGTGGGCTCAAAATCTCAAAGGAGGGTTTTTGGGGGGGTCCGTTTGATTTGAGACCCCAGCAGAAAAACAAAACCCCAGCAAGCCCTGGTGTGTGTTGGGGAGTCTGCCCATTTCTCTTACCTCATCCTCCGGTCTACTTTCGGGAGCATAGGTTCATTCATCCATTCCTTCTCTCAATTGCATATGAATATAGTTCAGCCTTAGGGAAAATCACAGCCGCTTCATCCCTCCCTGTGATCCCGTTGGTGTTGCTTTATTTCTTCTCTCCGTTGTACATGCCACCTCTCAGGACAGTTCTAGATCTAGGCAGAGTGATCCGCCCCAGGCCCTGCAATTTAGAGGGAGCCCTTCTCCAACTGCTCCATTTTCCAAGAGTCCAAGTGAACCCACCTGTTTGGCAGCTCCTAGTTCCGAAAACAGAACTAGCACCCCAGAAGCCTCTTTGTGTCCCCTCCTGGTCATGACCCCTCCTCTCCACAAGGTGAAACGCTAGCCTGATTTCCAGCAGCATACATTGTCTGTACTTCATAAGAAAGGAATCATGCAGTGTGTACTCCTCTCTGCCTGGTTTCTTTCACCCAACGTTATGTAGCGAGATTCACCTGCGTTGTTGCATGTAGCTGCAACTCATTTATTCTCATGGCTATATAGTGTTGCATTGCGTGCATATTTCACAATTCATTTACTCTTTTTACAATGTAGAAAGCAGCTGGCTTTCTCTCCTAGAGTATAGTCGAAGGTGGGAAGAGCAGTGGAAGTCCTCTTCCAAAGCAGGGACACTGACAGCAATTGACCTTTCTCACAGCTTCAGTGGGATTTGAGGAGCACAAAGATTTGAGAGGATGAGTTCCCTCACCTCCAGGACTTCGGAGCTATTCTCTGCCAGGGCACTAGGCAAGGGAAGAAAAGACTGGTCATATCTCATTCAGTGACATGCTTGCAGATGTCTTCTGACCTTCCTAGAATGGCTTTTGTTGCTCCTGATTTTTTTTCAGCTTTATTCAGTTATAATTGACAAAGAAAAATTATATACATTTATGGTGTACAGTGATTTTTTGATATATATACACGCACACACACATATTGTGAAATAATTAAATCAAGCTAATTGACATGTCCATCACCTCACATACCTATTTTTTGTGGTGAGAACATTTAGGCTCTTCTCTCGTAGCAATTTTCAAATCCACAGTGCATTGTGAACCATAGTCACCATGCTGTACAATGGATCTCCAGAACTTATCCTAACCAGAATTCTATACCCCATGACCAACATCTCCCCGTCCCCAGGCCCTGGCAACTACCGTTCTATCCTCTACTTTTATGAGTAAAATGTTTCTTCTAATTTTTGTTTAAATTCACGAAAAGACAGACAAGCCAGTAGGAAGCTTGCTTCTCCTTGGGTGGTCACTTACCTAGAAAGAGCTGCCTGAATCGGAGAGAAAAATGTGTGATAAACACGACTTTCTTGGGGTGTGTGTGGAAATTCATGCTTACATCTCCTGGGAGGCAATCGATGTTGCTGAGAGGGTGAACATTATGAGGGTAAAGGCCTTTTTGGATGACACACCAAAGCCTTGGAGGACTTAAGAAGAAGTGGCTTTGTGGGCTGAAAGAGTGACAAGTTAGGCCACCCCCTTACCTTAGGATGACAAATAGTAAAGCTGCAATCATTTCCATAACTTTTAGGGAAGGAGGAGTTTTGGTCAATTGAAATTTCTGGTGTACTCGAGAGTGTACTTGTGAGTTTCAAACATTGTTGAAAAATCTGTGTTGGAGAAAGAAGAGGAGCCGCCTTGCAGAACCAGGGCAGCAGTAATGGGATGACGGAAAAGGAGCCCCAGAGCCAAGAGCCCAGGAGTCACCAGGATGGCCGCAGATATCGGCTGAGCGGGGGAGGTGGGCCCGAGCTAAGCATGGAGCCCCTCTGGCCAGCCCGAGTTCCAGGCCAGCCTGCAAGGAGCTCCCAAGCTAGGAGGAGTTTCCTGGCCCCTAATTCCTGAAGTTCTGAGCAGCAGGCCAGAAACTGAGTCCCAAAAAGGCTTGAATGTGTGTTGGTTACAAGGAGGTCCAGCATTTGCTTCTCTGGAAAGATAAAAATACAAGTGCCCTCTGCTTTCTTGGCCAGCCCCCAACACCCCAAGGCAGACAGGCCACGTCCATGGAGAGCCACATCCGATGTGTACAAGTCCCCAGGATCCCGTCTGGCAGCACCAGCAGCAGAGAGGCGGGCAGGGGTGGGCGAGGGGAGTAGGCAGACATGGTCATTGGCAGCCTCTGTGCATCTTCAGAGGAGGAAGATAGAACTACATCCAGGTTTTGGAATTTTGGAATCTCTAATGTACAAAAGGCAAAAAGCTTCATTAGTGCCACTTTGCCTCTCACAAAGTAGATAAAAATCCTTATTGGGACTGAGAAATAAGACTTAATGTCATTGCATTTATTAGGTTCTGAAACAATACACATTCACATCCTTTTGAATACAGTACATTTGGCACAATAATGTTTACAATGAAATAACACTAATGAATGGCAAGAGATTAAAATTACATCCAGAAAGGAAAAAAAATGTACAAATAAAGCATCACAATACAAAAAAAATCCCTAAAATTGAATACACTTTATAGCCAGAATTATTTTGCACATAATTTAAAAAGAGGTAATTTTTTTTAGCCTTCCTTTTTTTTATTTTTAAAGCAAGAATGCATTGTTTTTTCACCTTTGGAGGAAAAAAAATATGTTTCCATTTCACAAGGTCCATACTGAGAGAACACAGGAGAACAGCTATCCTTCATATATTTTTTTGGCATTTTTTTTGCATTCTTTTTTTTTTTTTTTTTGAGAGAGAGAGAAGGGGGTGGGTGTTGGAAAGAGTAGAAAGAACTGGCGGAAGTGTAACAGTGTGTCTGCTTCCAAACTCTTGTGAAAATGAAAATGAAAGAATGATTACTCGAGGAACACACTAGTCTTTTTCTATAGACCTATGCTGGATTTAAATCTGCCTGCCTGAGAACTTCATCAGCCAGAGGCATCCCAGCCAGCCTGGCTTTGGGTGTGCAAGGGAGACTCTCTGGATCTGGCTGGCTGCCTGCCTAGAGCTGCTGGGTGGAATGTAGTATTTGACTTCCCAGCAAAATTGCCAGTTGTCCTGTAAAAAGGGCCCAACCCCCGCTGCCATGCAAACACTACCAAGCCCTGGGCCAAGGCCATTTGGCATTGCACTTAGAACTTGCTTGGTCGTCCAGAGTTCATAATGGTGACGGAAGCAGAAGAAAGACAGAGCAGTAGTTACACGTGAGTATGATGGGCAGTATTGTCATGTCTTCCTTAAAAAATGAGATGATACCACCGTGAAGATGTTTCTGTGCTTGTACTCAACTCCAGAAGAAGTCTCTCCCCAGCATGTCAAGTTACCGAAGATAAATTAAATTAATCTAATGTTCTTCATCACTTCACTGGTATGCCAAACACATGAATTGATGTAGCATAATATTTAATATTTGCAGTTATCGTAAGAACAGATAATAATTACACCTGAGTTTTTAAAAAATAAAAAAAAAGAGAACTGAATGTCATCATTAGTAACAAAGGCTATGACCAGCCAGATGCGAATATGGACACGAACTCTCCATGGGCTTGAGATCGTCACTGTCCAAGCTTTGAAACTACCACCACAAACATTCCTTTTTCTCCCCATCTCTATCAGGCAATAATAGAGCACAGGAGAAGTATACGTGAAATTTAATATAGCTTAATATATGTTTACATCTTTTAAAATAAACCAAAATGAAATAAACAATACAAAGAACCCCCTCTCCCTCCCTCCCAAAAAAAGGAACACACCTATCTCTCGGTAACTTGAACCAATACACGTACAGAGTATTGCACCTAGACATTATTATAATTATTCTTTCATAGACTAAAGTTTTATAATATGCCTGAACATGCAGCAGTTGATACCTCTATATTCAATGAATTAATTCCACAGGCCTTGCAGCAAACAGTATATACAAAAATCTCAAATGTACAAAAGGCAAAAAGCTTCATTAGTGCCACTTTGCCACTCACAAGTATATATATTTAGGGGCAGCTGGGAAATCCACGTGCAATAGTTGGAATGGATTCCATTCCCTGCTAAATCAGTTCAGTGAAATAGGTAATCGAATGACCTCCAGGAAACATATACACAAAGCCACAGAGAACCCTTGGAAATGAAAGAATGTAACACTGTTAGCATATCTACAGGAGATAACATCACAGCTGTTAAATAGTGTCCACATGAGTTGCCATTGCATGTCACACAAAAACAAACCTCTGAGTGTATCTTGCACATTGTCAGTTTTCAAACGAGCCGCTTTGCAGTCTCCTGATACCCTTGCGTAACCCATGTGTAGCCTCATTCTGCTTATTCCCAAAGCAGATAGTTCATACATAATTTTACATGTTTAATTTTTAAAAACCATGACACAGTAGTACTACCATTTTGTAGAAGTGCGCAAAAAATAACACACCGCTGCAGAAAATAAATAGTGTTTATGCTAGGAACTTAGAGAATTTGGGAGCCAAGTTTTGCTAGAACCCCAGGGTCTTGGCCATTGCTGTGTGGCCTTGGTGTTCAGAGAGAACTTTAATAATGGGGATTACTACTTGTTTCCTTTTCTCTCGATTCACAGTCCCCACGTGCCACGAAAGCACTGATAGCATAAACCTTGAACAACTGGTTTCTCATTGTATATTAGCCCTTTAATATCTACCTGTATTCAGATTGGAATTGATATATTTTGGCCAATTAGAAAGCAAATTTAAGAATCTATTTTTCAAATGTTAATAGAGTTCAAAATCAAATTTCTTTTTCCACAAGGAGTGATTTTTTTTTTTCCACAAGATACTAACTTACATGACTTTGGCATGCTCAACAGCTAAAACCAAAGCAGGCAAGAGTCAGCCATTCCAGAACAAACCGACAGCTAGCCAACCGTGCATCTCCGTCTCCCTCCTTCGTAGGGCGTGCCCGAAGGCGCCGACCCTCACAGAAGCAGCACCTGTCTCTTCTGGACGGAAGGGCAGGGTGGCAAGCCAGGGCGTAGGAGGGATGACAAGCGAGGGGAGTCAGGATTCTATGTCCCACGGCAGAGCCAGAGTCTTCTTGTTTGCTTTCTTTTTTTTTTCCTTGTGGTACAAGAACTCAAGTTGCTTCACTGCCAGGAGCCCCTAAGGAGTGGAACCAGGCTTGCCAACGGTCCGAACACGGCAGAGTGTGCAGCTGACTGCTGTGTTACTGGTGAGACAAGAACCAAGAGTGCCTTCTGGTCACCAGGTGGGCGAGGGAGGAGGTGGCCTGGGGTGAGGGAATGTAATAAATAGAGACTGGACGTGGGACTGGGCTCCGGGGAGGAGAAGTAGTTCAAGACTTTCTGAGCCTCTGGAACACAGGAATGTTCTCGGCACCCCTTCTTGCAGCATCAGCAAACTCCACCTGGAGCGGCTTCAGGGCATCAGGTCTTCGCCAAAGTAGGAGAAGCCTTTGAATTCCTCCTGGTTGATCTGCTTCACGATCGCTTCGTCCACAAGCGTAAGGACTGGCTCTTCCCGGGTAAAGTCTTGGTCAAAGTTATTGACATCTCTTTTGGTTTTCTGTGGGAAGAAAAGAGAAAACACTGAGTTGACGCTGACCTCCCTCCTGGGGTCCCCCCACGGGGAGTGGGCATTGCGCTGACCAGCCTGTGGCCAAAGTGGGCCTCTAGCTACTGACAGCAGACACGGGGCTGTTCCAATGAGGTCACGATGGATGGCCCCAGGACCAGGAGGTGACAGAAGAGGAGAGGAAGAATGAGTCAAGGTGAGAAGGAAGAAGGGGTGAGAGGATATGATGGAAAAGCAGGGAAGTGGGATTCCAACAGACTGTATGTATGTGCGTGTGTGCAGGGGTGTGTGTCTGCACACGTGCGTGTCTGGGGAGACTGGGATGCAAAGCTCCCATTTCACACCCCCTTCCAGCAACGGCTGTAGCTTTTTGGCTTCACTGAGACCTCCCTCCCTATGACCCAGGGAGCAAACTTGAATCCTCCTCCCACAGTGTCTCCGGTGGTCTTTTTCCCCTAGAGGCAGACCCCCATAACCTTGCCATGTCTGCTCCATATGGGATCCTCTCTACAAGTAGAAGGATGGGGATGGGGCAGGACCATCTTCTGGGAAGCCTGCCTCAACTCCCACCTGCTCTCACCATGAACCCTATTTTGTGCTCCCACATTTTTTCTATTATTCCACTCAACATACTGACTTGCCATGATGTGTTTCTGCTCCTGCCTAGACTAAGAGCTCCTTAAAGGCAGGGACTTTGTACTTTGTCTTATTCAACCCTGGGTTCCCAGCAGTTCCCCTGCAATAAGTGTCTATTGAATGAAGTGAGAAAATTCACTACTGATTCTCCAGCTCAGAAGGACCTATACCTAGTTGGAGGTTCAAGTTCTCAAGTTCAACTGGCTTATGGTTTCTGGGGTGTTAGAGGGCAGAAATCAACCAATCCACAAACAAATCCTGGTTTAGGGAGAAAATCAGGAAGTATAAATAATGCTCTCTGCCATTAGGGGCTTAGTGGTGAGTTGGAGAGTCAGTATTCCTGTCTAGAACGCATTGCATTAGTTAGGAAAACTTCCACGGAGAAGTCGGGGCTTGGGCTAAGGCTTGAAGAATGGGTCACAATTGTGTTGGTAGAGACGGGAGGAAGGCAGCTTGGCAGGGAGAAAGACAGAACAAAGGCAGGGGGCAGGAGCACAAAAGATGTAAACGCAGGACAATGGGTTGGCCAAGCTGCTGGGCAGAGTCCAGCGTGGGGGTGTTGGGAGGCAAGGCTGGAGTCCAACAGCAGAGGCCTTCAACTGTGGGTCCTCTCTCCCTGCCCCCGCCCCCCGGTACAGAGCACAATGGCAGGCAGATTGAAGACACTCCAGCAATACTCTTTCAGACACTGATTAACTAGTATTACCCAGGATTAGTGACCTGGATAGTGGAATAAATCTTGTGGAAACATTAGCATTGTTATTTGTAGGAGAAATAATATTAATATATGCTATACCCCGTGGAAACCAGTCACCTAAGAGATGTTAATAAGTAGTCCATGAAGAAAGTGGTTTGGAGACAAAGCTATATTTTGTACTCTGCTCTTGGAAATTTGCCATGAACACTGGCAAATTAAAGTCTCTGAGAAATTCTAGAGTAAGGAAACCTGGTTCTCTTTGTTGAGGCTAGCCTTCCTCAAACTTGACATAAAACTTTTCTTTCTTTTTTCTTTTTTCCTGAGTAGTTTATTACAACCTCTGCTGAGAGCAGAGTTCTGTAGAACATGAGCTGGAAAGTGTTGCTTTACAGTTTACAAAGCATTTCCACATTCATTTGCTCATTTGATCTTGCAAAGGCAGTTGTTATAATCCTCATTTTACAATGAGGAACCTGTGACTCAAAGACATTTGGTGACTTGCTCAGTCACACAAGTAGGTAAGGGCAGAACCAGAACACAAATTGGGTCTCAGCATGGTGTGGAAGGCCTGGAAATCTGGACAGTGGGGAAATGGGAAGACATAGCAAGGCTGACGTTCAACCAGGAGACATTTAGGTGAAGCCCCTAGGCTAAAATAAAGCCAGAAAGACCTTCTAGTGGGCAAGCATGGTGGGAGAGGGCTGTGGGTTGGGGAGATAGTGGGGAAGGTGGGCCAGGTGGGCTGCACAAGGGGTCTGTTTTCAAATGGCCTCAGACTGAGATCAAAATCACAAATGGCACGGAACAGGGATGAGCTAATTTTTGCCATCTTTTAGCATCACCAGTTCTTCTTGGTGTCTTCTATCTGAGCTTGAGCTGCACACAGTTCAGTAGGTCTCAAAGACCTTGGAAAGGAGACAGAAGGGAGACACAGAAAACCCATGGGATTTCCAGAAATACAACTGGTAGCTGAAGGACACCTGTGTTACCCCTTGAGATGGGACAGCTCAGGAGTGGTCATCTCTGCCAGGATGACTGCCTAGGGCAGGAGGACTCTCTGTTCCCCTTCTCCAGTGTGTACAGAGCAAGAGGAAAAGGAGGGTCCTGTTTGGAGAGGGACTTGAGAGAGGAACAAAGACCATCCCCACAGTGACGCACATTGGCACACTGGACGCTGGCGGGTGGTGCCTGGGGAAAGGGTGTGGTGACGTCTCTTCTGAAGATCTCTATCGAAGGATAGATTCACTGATTGAGGAGGGCCACAGAGTACAGGCCCTGTGTGCTGGTGAAATGAGGCCAGAGGCAAGGACTGGGGTGGGAAGGCAGCTGTTCCCAGTATCGTCTTGGGAGCCACCCACACCAGCACTGGAGCAGTAGGGGTGGCAGCAGGGTGAGGAAAAGAGTCCAGAAAGAGAGGAGGAAAACCTCATCAGTGCCACCACTAAGAATAGGCCACGTCCAGGTCTACGGTATTCTCAGGGGCAGGGACACCTCCTTCCCAGCTCCCTCTAAACTAGTTGCTAACAAGGGGAGCACATGTATAAAGAACCTCGGAAAACCCGTAAACTCCCTAGCATTGGCTCCCTGTTTACCTAATTATTTGTGTTTCACCTACTGGTCATTAGTGTCTATTAGTTGTAGAAACTGGTTCCATTTCCTGAGGTTGACTGGGCATAGTAATGAAAAGCTAGATGCTATGGGATGTCTGAATTTCACAACTTGCTTGTGTACACAACTTGATTGTGTACCAGGGACCCAGGCTCAGTCAATACAACTAGCCAATACAACTAGGGATGTCGTTCCCAGAGGACCTCTAGCTCCATGGCAGGCTAGCTTAGAGAGCCACCGAGCTCAGCTACAGGATTCTCAGGGGTCCCAGACTCATGTGTGGCATTTAGAGAACATGCCATTCTTTGTGCTTTCGAGACCTGGTTTACTCACGTCCCTACACAAATTGACCCCTGCCCTGTTTTCCTTGGAGACATTTTAGGTACATGTCAGTTATCCATTCCCAATTCAAATAACCAACATCCCCAGTATGTGCAATTCCTGACTGTTAGCATTAGAGGCCTGGGAGGTTCTCCAAAGCAAATATCTCTTGGAAAACCTATCCCCTATTAACGACGTGTAGGCAGCACAGCACCCTCAGCTTTGGAAAGGATTGCAGATTATATTTTTTACTCACTGACTTTATTCTTTGAAAAGCTGCTACCTCCCTCAGAGCAGGCACAAGCCTCGACTCCAGAGTTCTGAGGGACAAACTCTCAGAGACACTTGTTTATCCTGACCCCCCCATGATCCACATGCCTCCCCTAATGCCTAAATGCCAGACTCTCAGCACACTCTGCACAGCCAGAGAGATGACGCTGGGACAAAGGAAACAACGTTCTAACTCTGCAGACCTTACCTCCCCCAGGAGGCCTCGCCTACAACCTGTGGCCCACACTTAGGGAAGGCTGCACAGAGTAGGAGAAACATCACTGGCTGACCCTGTATCCTGGTACGATCCTTTCCTGGTTATATGACACTGGGAGGTTAACCTCTTTGAGCTTTGGTTTTTTTTCATCTATAAAATGCAGGTGGCAATAGGCACCCTATAGGTTCCTTTGAGGACTAAGTGACGTGTGACTTCAGGTGCCTTGCTGCAGACCCTGGCACATAGCAAGCACCCAATAGATGTGAGCTTCTACCCTGCCACCGAATCTTAGCACTCACGTGAACGTGTACTCAGGTACGTGCATTATGTACAGCTTGGTTGTTAATCAACACAGTTCATGTGATCTGCCACCGATGAGCTTCTAGAAGGTCGGGACTGAATCTTACCCTCCTCCATACTCCTCCAGATCATGAACTAGTGCTGCACCAGGGCCTGCCTGAGCATCCTGCTTTCCTCTAGTAACTGAGATCCTTCCATGGCCCCCCACTGCTTCCAGGATACACGCACCTTCTTCTAAAGCCGGCAGGATCCTGTCCTTGCCTAGTGCCCAAGCTTCATCTTCCTCGTGCTGCAGAAACACGAGGTTCTCTGGACTCGTCCACTTCCTCCCAGAGGCCTTTGCACAGATGCCCTCTGCCTGGAACACCCTCTCCCCTCCTTGCCTTCTGCCCCATGTCTACTCAATTTCCCTACCTCGATGTAAGGAAGGCCTCCTTGTCCCCTCCAGACTGGCTTGACTCTCTCCTCACTTGTCACAGCACTTACTACATTGAGGAGCTGCCTCCTTTCAGCTAACCTGTAGCTCCTTGCAGGCAGGGACAGGGCTGAACTCATTCTATCCCCAGCCTAGTGCAATGCTTGGCACATCCTGAGCACTCGATAGACATCTACTAGAAAAAATTAATAAATACACCTCTTCTGCTGCCACTTTATCTAGAGCCAGTAAAGTGATCTGGGTTCAGGGCCAGGGGCCGCTATCCTGCCAGAGGGTTTTTTCATTTGGGGAAGTGGAGGCAGAGAGGAGGGAGAAGGTTGAGGTCTGATTCATGCAGGGCCTGGAGCAAGGCAGCCCGGATCGTCGCCAGGCCCCAAGGGGTTTCTTCTGCCAGCACTTGGGTCACCAGAGTTCTCTAATTGCTGATACGAGATAGAAACAGAAACAGGTTCAACTGGGGTTAGGGAACATTCCATCAAGACAGATGCATTTGAAGACTTGGCAGG